TCTTGGAACCAAGGAGTGGTAGATATAGTGAATTGCTCTTGGAGATAAGAGCAAGTGGAGTAGGAGGATTACACCACCTCGCGAACCACTATAATTGTCTTGTGTTCTTTACTGCTTTCTTTACTTACTGCTCTTTACATATTCGCTCTACACGAGATATACTGCTCACACAATCTCACACACACTTTATGTTTATTTATTTCCGCTGTGCACCATACTCTAACAATCTAGTTAAGAGTTTTGGTTTATCTCTAGCTTAGCAATTGTTGTGCTGTGCGAAAAAAAAAAAGTTTGAAAGTCTATTCACCCCCCCCCCCCCCTCCCTCTAGACTTTCACATTACCTCTTTTGGGACCAACACAAGCTATTTGGGACCTATCTTGGGTCATTAAAGTGTGGATCTCGCCATTTTGATTGATATTTTAATGATAATTGTAGCTCTTTTTTAATTGTAACATGTTTATTAAGTTTTAATTATTACTAACTACCATATTTTGGTATTCATCGTTGGTAATAATATTAAGTTTTGGGTCTACTTCAGTATTAGACCATTTTCCATCCATGTTATAATTCACTTGGTCATTGAGGTTTATGAGCCTAATTTGAGTGATTAAGTGCTATAATTATTGTCTTGGCCTGCTTAGAGACATTAAGGATTTCATTGTTGTTTTGGCCATTAAGAACTACAACTATTGTTTAAATTTGTAATCTATCAATAGTTTTCAGGGCCTTAATAATAATATTAAGTCTTTAATTTATGGCAAAAGCAATATAGTTGGTATATTGTCAGAATAATGGTAATTTGGTTATTACCTAACTTCAGTCTCCCTAAGTATCATAATAGTCATTATTAATTATTATGTGGTATAATTGAGATTAGTATTTGGCATCCCTTAATTACAGTTTTGCCACTTATTAAGTTATAAATTCGACATTATTAATTACTGTTATTAAGTTTAGGGGCTAATCCCGTTTATTACCTCTTCATAGTAATTATTATTTCATAGTAATCTGCGATATTTGGTACATTGGCATGATTACCACTTCATTTTACATGACTATTAATGTTGGTAATTAAGTCCTACCAATAAATTTTTAAATGTACCATTGGACGCTGCATCTAGGCTACTGACACCGACAATGAAGATGGGAGAATTCTGGAGTTTTTTCTTCTCTTGTGGATCGTCATCGTTGTTAGCGCAATGAGGAGATGTTGTTTGCATCATTAAGGTTAGCCATTAATTATCTTTTACGGTTATTATTGATAATTAGTGCTACAGCTACAGTTAACCGCTAATTTGGACTAGTCACATATTTTTTCTTTGGAAAAATAGAAACATTGAATAGGTGCATTGCCATACTTTAGTTTGTTGTTATTATTAATGTTAATAGTGATTATAATGTTATTTATTGCTATTAATAATTAATTAATGATAACATTAATATTGTTATGGTATTCAGATATGTACCTTGAACTGTTTCCAAATGAATTTATGTGACAATACTCCATTTCAGAAAATAATTTTCTTGACACTAATGTTTTTCGAACTTCAAATTTTATTAAGTTTTCAAAATTTTATCCGAAAATATTTATAAGTGTTAGCGATTTTGACCATTGTTTTTCCATATTTAGTCTCCTACATAATGTGATAATATTATTATGGCTATTTATTGCTATTTTGGTTATTTGCAATTTTGCCATTAATAATAATAATATTATCAACTGGGTTATGGAGAGTGATTTTGAATCAATTTAGTAATTTTGGAAAAATATATTTTCTAGGCAATTGACTTTTGCCATTAATTCCATAATTCATCTAGTTCTTTGAATTATGATTGCCCATATTTGGTTAAGTATGAATAGATGAATATTTGGTTTAAATTCATATTTTTTAGTTGGTTCATACTCTTTAGATTGTTTTATGCATTCAATCACATTAAGTGCATAATATTAAGTTTAATTATGCAAGGAGGGATTGTGAGATTTTAATTTACAAATGATAGCACATCCTTTTGGTTTGATATTGTTTGAATTTGTAAATTCAGTTATTTCTCATAAATTTGATCTTTATGCATTAAAACATTTTACCATGGGCTTATATTTTAAAATTTTAAAGTATATATCCAGTACATTATTATTCAAAATGTTGGGTCTCTTTTGGTTTGGACTCATTGGTGTTTGAATATTAAGTTTATACTTTGAAATCTCATATTGAAAATTGCTTTAAGTTATGTAGTTTATTTGGAATATATGAGTTTAATGCTTAATTTTATGCATATTTGTCCACCGCATAATATTATGTTTTTAAATTATGCAATTTTATTATGCCTTTAGCAATGCATACTTTGAGATGGAATTATATTAGTTCCTATTTAAGTTGGACTTACGCATAAACTTTAGTCGCGGTAGTGCCTGAATTTAAGCATGTTTAGTCCGCTATTTTTAGTTCACCATTTAAGCTTTAATTATAGGTGAACCTTACAGTTTTCTGGTGTATACCCTACAGTTTTAGGTTCATACCCCCAAACAGTTATACATTAAGTATATATGAATCGGGTAGACATACTATTTTTAATGGTCATGACTTAAGAACATTTTGAGCCACTAGTCTCCTTAAATTGATACTCTATTTAAGGAATTGGTTTTCAGTGAGACTTAGACTCTAACCACCTTTCCTTGGAGTATATTTAGATTTTCCCATCACAATCTGGTATAATCTGTTTGTCAAAATTTTAAGTATTCCTTGCCAATGTGATTTGATTTGGGTTCATTAAAGAATAGCCAAAGCATCTTTAATTTACTGAAGTCTCTTAAGTTTTCAATCTTGGTTAATTAAAGAATAGTTACAACATATTCAGCTACCTAGCTAAAATTATTAAGTTTTAATCACATAAAGTTTAGGCAAGAATTTGATAATTGTCTAGTGATCTTATAATTTTAATTTGGTTTTGTAGTAGCCACAGCATCCTTAATCTGTTAAAATTATATATTAAGCGGTTTATTTTGATCACATAAAGTTTTAGACATATCATTTGTGATTAATTGTATGTAATATGATAAAGTTTAGCCCACAGGCAATTTTGTTATATTTGTATAATTAATCAGGATGAAATACTGGACTACGGTCATAATTTAGCCCACAGGCAATTATGTATCGGAATGTAGTTTAGTAATTTTATACACACATAAACATAGGGTTTATTCATTAAGGACTTAAGTTGGAGAATTAAAATGCATGTGACCATAGTGGATATTACTCTGATTAAATAGAGGACGTATCACTATGATTCGTGTGTTTTGTTCTTTGATGAAGGTTGTGCTAGTACTTGCACCAAGTGGGAGAATGTAAGATTTTCCCTAACAATATATATTGTATATTATATATTAGGGCCTTAATTAAGTGGTGCAAGTTAACTAGGCTTATTAAGTGGTCTGGTTGGACTGAATAACTAGAAGTTGTTAGTCCACCAAACTCTGTGCCTAATATATATAATCCTAGATTGATGGGATACAGGATGATTGATGTTAGCACATTCAGTTACGATACTCAGACTGCTCAGTAGACACCAATACACCATCTAGGGTTCTGAGTCAGGTCTGAGGCAAAACATGGCTAACGGTCTACCGTTAAGAGGCAACACAACAGGAACATCAACTATGGCTGGAGATCTACATGGCTGCGCTTCCGCTCTCATACGAGGTCAGGTTTCTCGTATACTGTTATTCATTATAGTTAGACTATTTAGATCTAACATTTTTCACATGCAAATTAGCAGTGTAAAATCCCAAAATGATTATGGAAGACCTTTGAACATTTAGAAAAAGTAATCACTTTAATAAAAAAAATTATGAACTATTGTTAGTATGAGAAATTATACGAACAATGCACAAAATCGCAATTCTTACGGTTAAATTCATTTAGTAATGTTTTTTAAGGAAAAAAATACATGAATAAATGTATTAATAATAGATTAAAAAAAAAAAAAAAACATCTGGCCCAGAGGCGGACCCAGCATGGGGGCAGTGGGGTCAGCTGCCCCCCCTCACCCCACCCCCACCACATATATAACCCTTGTATGTATATATGTATATATAGTACAAGTTTTAGTATAAGTATAATAAAATAGATAAAAATCAACAAAAGATGAGTAGATCAAGTGGTAAGGCGCGTGTTTGGCATCTTTGCTAGATGCCAGGGTTTAAATCCTTCTGCTGCTGTGCAGATTTGTTCCTTGTTACTTTGGCAGCAAATTGTTCATGTTATATTTAATTATTTTCTATGACTTTTAAACACTTCGTATTAATTAATTGTGAGATTTACATATATATAACTTTCTTTCATATCAATAATGAGATGTGTTTATAATGTATTTTTTATTCGAATGATTTTATCAAATTAATTATGTTTCATATTTTTTATAAAATTTTGATGTGTGTTATTTTTGGTCCACATCCAACAATATTTATCGTTATACTTTTAAATGTTTTTTTTTATCAAACTATCTATTTTGTTTTAATGTGTTTTGCCCCCACTGAAAAGAATTTCTGGGTCCGCCACTGATCTGGCCCCAATTTGTTTTTTTGAATAATTAACTTTAAAATGCATTAAGATTTTATAAATATTAAATAACCCCAATGAGTGATATGTCCAACATATTTCTAACATTCCAAGGATTAGCCAAAATTACAAAAATGCACAGAACACTTAATCCCAGGTGCACACTCCGGAAAATGAGATTACTGTCCTCAGTATTGCATTCAGAAGTCTACTATTAATCCTATAAAAAGCTACAATCGCAGACAACTAAGATTCCCTTATGCACAATATCACTATCATTCAAAACACACATGAATGCATACTTTTAAATTCACAAATGCACAGAACCAGCATGTACTATCACACAAGGCATTCAAAATAGCCATTGAAAGTGTCCTGCACCGATTCTAATTTGTAGTACTGTCAAATACGGAGTATTGGGAGTAATAAAGAAGTGTAATCACCAAAATATGTAGACCATTGTTAAACAACCGACCGTGCAACAAAAAATAAATTCATATCCCAAGCAATACGTTTCCACAGTTTTAATTAATATGTTTAACAAACCCCATATGGCAAAGAAATTCATATCCCCTCCAACTTCTTCGGCTGTAAATTCATATTGTGTCCAGCTCCATATCAATTATCCTGTCTTGATTCTTGCCCTGGTGGATCAACAAAATCGTCATCGGTGTTATGCCAAACTGTACCCTCTCGTGGTTACTTCTTTGATTTTTTGTTTTTTTTGCTGCAACTGCTCAATACAAAATGCGTACAAAATAAGAACCAAAGAGCTCACTGCTAGGGAAAAAAACTAAGAATCAAAATACTCTATCCTACATGTGCACAAAAAAAATATATATATATTAAATATATTAAAAACTGGTTAACTATTTCATGTTGGACACTAAACTTATTTCAGTTGCACAGAGAAACCACCCCTTACTGCACATATTACCCCATATCACATCCAAACACCTCAATTACGTAATCTGATAATTTCTGAAATGCACATTTTAACTAGTAATGCTCAGTAATAAAACAACAGAATGTACAAACATTCAGTAAATACAGGCATACAACACATCTAAAACAAGAACATCAGAAAAACTTACTTCAAAAGTGTTTTAAGTTTTCATTACCATTTAGAAACACCTTAATTAGCATAATTAATTGTAGTAAGACAGAAATTGACTCCACGCTCTGGTTTATATTTGTTTCCAGTGATAGACTGTTTGCATAGAAAATTACAGATTATATTTATATTCCATTTTTCCCCAGAAAGTAAGTCTGTGAATTGCATGGTAAAAATTTTCCATTGTTAATTTAATTTTTTTTTCTTAGGAAAATGCCCTTACATATTATTCAACACTAGGGCCACAATTCTTGAATCATCTAAATGGCAGTGCCATTGGTATAATGACAATGAAGTCAAATATTATGGATTCATTGGCTCAAATTGGTTGGCAGTCCACTTTCTCTTGCTAAGGTTCTATATTTCGCTTATATTTGTTGCACAACAACCACACTCATTCCAGCACAAATTAACCCAACCCACATGCACAACACAATAAGGTAATATGCTCAATATCACAACAACAAAATGCAGACTATCAAAATAATAAAATGCACACTATGTTCATTCACCTTCAGCTCAAATACGCTACCACTTTCAGCTCAAATGTTTCCATCTTACATGCACACAACTCAAAATGCACCTCTCAACTTTTTTGAAATCCAGCCAAATGTCTGTGTCCATCTGCTACTGTGTAGTCCCAACCAAATACTTTCTCCCCCATTTGTGCATCCCTATGTTTATACCCTCTGCCACACACATCCCCTCCCACGGCCTCACAGTCACGTCACACCGCACCCCCCAAGGGCACTAGCGGCGTTTTTTATTACAAAAAAAAAGAAAAAAAAAAAAAAAAAAAAAAAAAAAAAAAAACACGATTTCTCCCCTCTACCACACACCTCCCCTCCCACGGCCTCATCGACACACTGCACAACCCACGGCCACACAAACACACCGCACCTCCGACGGTGAGAGGCAGCAATTTGAAAAAAATAACCAACAAAGCAACACATTACAGACAAAGTGCATGTCCTACAATCTCTGAAGTGCACATACATTTTCTCTATATTCCAAATCAGTTCAATACTTCCACCCCTATTATTTGGCTCTTATTGCACCACTCTAAACCTCCCCCTCTTAAACTGCATTAAAAACCCCCGAAAAAAAAAAAAAAAAAAACACCCAAAACCAAATCTTTTCCCGGAATTCACCGCCTTTTCCTGACTCTCACTCACTTGCGACACTCCAACAGAGTCCAAGAAAGTTGGCACAATTCAACACCCAGGTTCGGTGACTTTATATTATCCAAAAACAAAAACAAAATCACACACAATAGCACTGACTACAAACATGCGATTTCACAAAAAGTCAATCCAGTTTCTCAGCCAATCGTTCAAAATAAAAAGAATGATAAAAAAAAATTGAACTTTTTGCTTACGGAGTCTACTCGTTGCTTCAATGGATGCTCGCCGGTTACTTCTTCTATATGTTCCGTCCGCCATAGCTGCCGTTTGTGTAGTCGCACCCACCTCTTCACCTACTCGGCTTCTGTGTTTTCGTTTCTCTCTCAATGTGATTGTGCAATGCGACAGCTTCCCTATAGTTTCATCGCTTTAACCCTACGCGTACAGACCCGTCTAATTCGCTCATTCCTTTCTAGTCTTGCACAAACTATTATCCAATTACAGCTTTAACCCCTATATTAATTACTTCTTCAGTTACATGTCTTATTTATTGTCCTTTTACTTTCTATCCTTGTGCAATAGTCATCGTTAGATTGCATGATCTGATGGTTGTAATTTGTCCACAGTCCTCACCTAATAACCTAACCTCACTTGAACCTCACCCTATATATATATATATATATATATATATATATATATATATATATATATATATATATATATGAGAACCACCCTCCCCATGACTCCATGAGAACCAATATGGTACATTAAAAAAACATATCTATGGATGAGATTAGTTCGAAGAATTCAACATTCACGTGTGCATATGGAGCATGTGCTGTGTGCATATCCTATGTTTGCATATAACACATGCTTAATATGCACACAACACATGCTCCATATGCACGTGAATGTTGAATTCTCACAATTAATTTCATTCATAGATCTGTTTTTTTATGCACTACTGTATTTGTTCTCATGGGGAGAGTGGTTCTCGTAAGATCATCACCATATATATATATATATATATATATATATATATATATATATATATATAGAGGAGTGATCACATATGGCATATACATTAGGTGTGGCAGTGTGGTCAAATAAGAGCCGTCTGATCATTTCAATCCAACGGACAAGATTATAATTTTATGGCGCGCCTATTTATCTATAGCGTAGCAGAGAGGGGTAGATCTGTCATTTCATTCTATTCAAACACTGTGTGAAGGTTCCTTCTACAAGTCATATCGATTCATAATCCCAAAGCACAAGAGAACCGCTCCACTTCTCTCACTCTCTCGGCGACGACGTACTCTCCTTACTCCACGAAAGACGGCGAATAATGGTGAAAAAAGGCAAGGAACCGGCGCGCATGGGTATGAACTCACTGCATTCTGTAATATATACTCGAAATAGACCTTTTTGTGTGTTTTAATTGATGATCGGTGTATACTAAATAGGTAATTAGAGTATTTTCAGCGCCCTACATGCTTCCACTCGTCCATATCGTTTTTGTTCTGTGCATTGTCAATGGCATCGTGTAATATATTTCAATAAATACTGGTGTAATGGTGTATTTTTTCATTGTGCTTGTGTGTTGACTGTAGTGTACATTTCAATACCTACTGGTGTATTCTGACATACCTCAGTTGAGTATTGTAACCAACATTGTTGTGTGTTTTTCTTTGATATTGGTGTATTTTTTCATTGTGCTTGTGTGTTGACTGTAGTGTACATTTCAATACCTACTGGTGTATTCTGGCATACCTCAGTTGAGTATTGTAACCAACATTGTTGTGTGTTTTTCTTTGATATTGGTGTATTTTTTGATTGTGCTTGTGTGTTGACTGTAGTGTACATTTCAATACCTACTGGTGTATTCTGACCTACCTAAGTTGAGTATGGTAACTAACATTGTTGTGTGTTTTATTTTGATATTGGTGTATATTTCACTAAGTAATAGTGTATATTTCACTAAGTAATAGTGTATTCTGGACTACATCACTTGAATATAATAAAAAACATTGTTGTGTGTTTTAGTTTTATATTGGTGTATTATTTCTTGTGTTTGTGTTGTTGATTGTAGTGTATATTTCAATAAGTAATAGTGTATTCTGGACTGCATCACTTGAATAGAGTGAAAAACATTGTTGTGTGTTTTAGTTTGATATTGGTGTATTTTTCAACATTGAGCTTATATCATGCAGACACCAAGAGGAAAACATTAGAACTAGTAGATCCCCCGGCAGCAAAACAAATAAGGAGGCAACAAGCCCTTGACTTCATTGATAGAATCGAGGTTGAGCTGCAAAATGAAGATTCCGAGCAACAAAATCAAGATGAGTCCAGCTCAAATGATGAGGAAGATGTACTGGATGTTAAAGACAAAGAAGCTGGCCTGAAGATACGACCCCTTCCCACCCAATTAATGAACCCAATTGCAGACCTAACTGATCCCCAACGCAGAAGTGTAGAAGATATTGGACTAGGGAGACTTCTTGACCTGAATATTACCAATGTCCCAAGGAAGTTGGGGCTCTGGCTTGTTCAAAACTATGACGCTAGGAGCAACACGTTAAACCTGCCAACTGGTGAACGACTACCCATCACAGAACATGATGTTGCTGCTACAATGGGGCTGCCGATGGGAGGCATTGAAATTGTTAAAAGGGCATCCAAGGAAGTGTCTACACTATTGGCTGGCTGGAGAACAATGTTTGGAAAGACTAACGGCCACATCACCCCCCATATTATGTCTGAGCATATGTTGACACTAAATGCTACTGATCCTTGGTTCAAAAGGCAGTTTGCACTGCTTGTAATGAGTGTATTGGTTGAGCCCCAAGTCAATGGTTATGTCAACCAAAGCTACATTGATAACTTCCAAAATGTTGACAACATCAAGAATCTAAATTGGTGTAGAATGCTCATCACCAGCAAGCAGTCATGGCTGGACAGTGTTGATGGGAGATACGGAGGACCAATTATTTTCCTGATGGTAAATATACTACCAGCAAGATGCATCTAATTTATTACCCACCGATCAATTAATACTCTAAAATGCAAAATGCAGATATTCTATGTTGACCGCGTGGTGCTCTACCGGAGGACAGTCCCAAGAAGCTTCCCTGCCATGAAGAGCTGGACATTTAAGCTGCTCCTTCAACGAGAACAAGCAGAGATAAAATCTGGTGGCTTTGGATATGGCCGTCTTGAAGATGCCTTGCCATTGGACAGCACACCGTTCAAAGAAGGAAGTCCCCCCCCCCATTGATACAATCTGATGTTCGACCCCAACCACTGGCTATTGAAAGTAATGCACCACTTCCCACTGCGTTACAGGTAAAACAGACCACTTGAGTCACATTCATGGTGTACTCCCTTATATCTCTTTTACTGTTTTTAAACCTATTGACTGTTGTGCATCTTACAATGCGGTACCTTAATCAGTTTGTGTGAATAAGATAATGTACTATAATGGTGTGCTTCTTAATAGTATTTAGTGCATATTTTGATATACATTGGTGTGTTTTATTATATCCTTGATGTGCATATGCAGGAGTTTGTTGATGAGATTACTAGCAACACAAGGACAATTGCAACAAGTTTGCTGAGAATATCCAGACTGATTGAAAATGCACCTGCTGCTGTTTTGGAACATCATACATTCAAGCAAGTTTTTGAGTCTGCTAGACAAATGCTAGGATTCAAAGCACAGGAAGATGGACAAATGACATTTACCCAAAGCGAAGACGCCTACTGGAGTGACCCTGAGTTTCTGAAAGCAGTTGATGAGATTGTACGTGCGGTGAACAAAAGGAACTTCCTAAATGATATACCCTCTTTCAGCCTGGGATTGTCACAGGATGAACCAAACAAAAGCTGGGCAGATGTGAGTGAAATTGCACGTGACTACCAGGATGTTAACGAAGCTGATGAGCCTGTTGAAGTTCAGTTGGGTGTGGATGATGATCAAGCAGCAGACAGACACCAAGAATGCCTTGAGACAGCTCAACAAGAACCCCTCTCTGACCACCATAAACAGGCCTTGCATGAGACTCACGCAGCTGACACTAATACTGAGGTAATAAACTATAATAAATCCAACATTAACACACTATAAAACCTGATGCTCTCACCTTTAAATATTACAGGTCACACCAGAATGCCAAGGGCAGCCAGCCCCTGCATCGAGTCCACCCCCCCCCCCCCACCCCAACCAGCAGACAAGGGAAAAGGCCCAGCTAGAGTGCACAGCCCAATTGCACGAAGACCGATCACATACGTGCAGATATGCTGTCAATGAGGCCAGAGGAAGCTATCAGGCAGTGGGTGTTGGAAAATCCTAATCCAAATCTGTAAGCACAACACATTCTAGAAACAATGGTGTGCTGTTTATAAATATTTGGTGCATTATATAATGATGTTGGTGTATAAATATCCTATGCACATTGATGTGCTATTCTATGTGATATTAGTGTATATTATGTTAACTATTGGTGTGTTTATACTAAATGATTAGTGACTGATTGTGTTTTATACCTAACATATTTCTTTTGTTTTCAATAGGACCCAAGAACTGTTCAAGTATGAAGGAAGGGTAATCCATTGGGAAGATATGCTGTCAATGAGGCCAGATTCACAGATCCCAGTCTCTATAATTGATGCTTGGGCAGCCATAATCAACATCCGTGAGTCAGAAAGAGGATGTACGAAGTTCATTGCTTCGTTATGGACAACAGTGAGTTGAACATATAAACCTAGCTTCAACTTTAACCAGCTTACAGTTCTAACAAAAATACCCTTACAATTTGCAGTTGTACACCGTTGTGGACCCACAGGGAGATGAGGACGTTAGATTTGCAAGATTCAAATCAAAGTACCTTGAAGACAAACTCATCGCTGGCGACGTTAGGTGGAACAGCATTCTATACGTAAGATGTTAATATACATTTGATGCATCCTACTGTTTATCTATTTGTGGTGCATTACCAAGATTCGTACTAACCCCCGTAAAAAACATATCTTTTTTCTATAACAGTTTTTGTTTCCAATTGTATCATGCAACCACTACTACCTGCTTTCCATTTGCCCACTAATGGAAAGATTTGACATTATTGACAACTCTTCTGTCACTGTGAAGAAAGAAAACAAGTATGGGACTGTGCTTGCAAATATGGTAACGCACTAAACCCTGTCTGATTACATATAATTACTGCACAACTACAACAAAAAATGCTCAGATTGTATTACTTGATGCAGCAAAAATTCTTGTCAAGGTTCTTGTCTGACCTGAAATCCTCATACAAGGCTGAGAAAGTGAACAAGGTGAAATCTAAGATAATGAAAATGCCTTGGAGAGATGCACACAACAAGGTAGATTGTGGGATCTTTCTCATGCGACATTTAGAGACTTTCCGATGGCAGACATATGATCAGTGGCAGTGTGGACTTCAGAA